CCTCCCTCCCTCCCTCCCACTAGCCCGGTATTGGCACAAATATGGAGTGTGGGTCATCTCCTCCTCATTGGGTCCCCCGTGGCAGACAGCGCTAATTAACCACTCGAGACCAAGCCCCACAACCCTGAGCACAGTGCCCCCAGGTAGCCCCCTCACAGAAGAAACCCACATGCTTCTCTAGCACTGGTCCTTGTGGCCCCAATGCCTACATTTTCTGTTTACTTGATGTTTTCTTCAGTCCTAAATGGTTCAAGACTTCACCTCTGTGTGCCCTAGGATGACTTAACTTCTCTGGACCCCAATCTTCATCAATGAGATGAATTCTGGGCAGATGCTTTTGGAGAGGTTAGCACCCCAAAAGAGCACAGGCTCCAGTCACCCACTAGCTGTGTCACCTTGGGCAGGCCACTCTCTCATCCTTTTTCTTCACATGTAAAATGGTATTAAAAATATATGCTCTATGGAAGGTTTTTTGGTGCCTATTGGAAATGAAACACACACATACTGCAGATGCTCGGGCCCCATGCAGACCAACTTCTCTGGGGGACAGGAGAGGCACTGAGTTTATGGGGCGGGTGAAATCACACCCAGCTGGTCGGGGTGGCAAAGGGTTAGGAAGTAGAGAGCGGAGGCCACGTAGGAGAGGAAGAATGCTGCCAGGGGACCATCAGGGAGGGACAGGCAGGAGCAGATGCAAGAAGTGAGCCAGCCCCGAGTAGCTGGCGGAGAACAGTCACAATGCATGAGGAGTACCACAATCTAGGCAGCGTCACGGGTCCTTATCTCCTCCACCACCATGCATGGTGGGCTGTCCCTGTTTCACAGATGAGACTGAGGATCATCAAGGTTGAACAGACTCTCCGAGGCCACAAAGCCGGCAAGAAGCAGGGCAAGGACACACCCATGATGCACAACAAGGTCAGGGTCAGAGGCTGAGGACCTTGAGCGGTGGACTCTGGAATGTGGGCATTGTCAAAACAAAACAAAAAAGCTATTCATTTTTTTCCTGATTCTAAAAGCAACATACACCCTATGAAAACTTTAAACACTACAGAAATATGTAACTTGGAAAGAGAGACACCTCTGTAGCCTCACTCTCATCCCTGTAGCCTACTAAAACTAATGTGTATTCATTAGGTTTTATTTTTTGTGTACATGCACACAGATTTATAAAAATGGGACCATCCTGCGCATACTCTTGCCCAATTTGCTTTTTTTTCCACTTAAAACATAACACACTAGGCTGATTCTGGGTAGGTCACTTAGCCTCTCTGAGCCTCATTTTCTGGGCAGGCAAACTGGAGACACTACTACCTCCTGGAGTTGTTAGAACTCTAAAAGGAAATATGGAAAGTGCCATGCAAGTTGCCTGCCCACAGTAGGGGCACAGGGTTCAGTTCTCAGTCCCCACTGGCCTTCCACTCCTGCATCCCCTCCACCTTGGAGCCAGCCAACCCTTTGGGTGGTTGCTTATCTGGGTGTCACCCTCTTGTGCTGGCCACTCTGCTGGGAGCCACCCTGCAGGGAGGAAACTTGGGGCCACAATGTACCAGGAAACTGGGGTTACAGAGCCTGTTTGCCCAACTCAGAATCTAAGAGGACAGTATGGGAAGACATTGTGCGCTGGCCTCTGCCTGCTGATGTAAAGGAGACCCAACAGGTGCATAGCAACCTGATCTAACCCCAGGTGGGGCCTGGCCACACTCCTAACAGTGGCTCCAGCTGCATGATGAAATCGAGACACGGCGGTACCTGGAGACAGCTCCTGGTGCTCACTGACTGACTCATCAGGAACCCTTTGTGCCAGAGAAGCCAGATTGTCCACCTCTCCCAAGGTACACAGCTGGGGCAGGCAGGTGGCTGAGTGAATTCCAGTTCCAACCCTGGCACTTAGATAGCAAGTCACTTCCTATGCCTGGGCCTCGCTGTAAAAGGGAGGTGGGCTGCCTCCTCCCAGCATAGTGTCTGCAGAGGGCCTATCGCAGTGCCTGGCACACAGGGACAAATTCCTGAGCAGCCTTCCAAACAGGAATGTTTGGGAGAAATGTTCCTCAAAGGAAATGTCCATATATCTAATGGCATTTATCGCTCTCCTCCCCCAGCCCTGTTCCCACTGGGCATCAGGGTCTTGTTCACAGGACACTTTGCCAAAGACTGGGGCCCCAGACCCTCTGCCAAGGACACTAGATGAGCCTCTGGGTAAGGTCTCCGTCTTCTCCTTGGGAAGTAAGGGGTCAGGGTGTTCAAACATTTTAAAAGCTGTACAAACACCTCTGCCCAACTGTAAGCTTAGGTGGCATCAAACACATCAAACAGATGACAGAAAAACTGCACAGTGGGGGCAGTGATTCCCCTTGGCCCCTCCCTCAGCTTATCACCACTGGCAGCTTAAGGGAATGCTTCAGGGAAGCTGGAAAACCTCTGAACTGGATGTCCTTGCCAGGTGGCGAGGTGACACATGCTGATGGGGCTAGGCCCAGGTCAGGCAGAGCCAGGGCCTAGGGAGCAGGGCACGTGGGCTCAGCATCCGGTGTTCCCACTCCTGGTCCAGCATTTCCAACCTCCAGTACTCACCACCATGTCCCACAACGAATGGTGCGCAATCAATATTTGCAGATGATGCTAAATTCTAGAAGCTGATATGGAGGGGAAGGAACACTGAAGTAGGAGTCAGACACCCAAACTGAATCTGTCCTGTGTTAGCTGTGTGTCCTTAGAGGGGTCTTCTTTCCCCGCTGGGCACTGTTTCCTTATTTAGAGAGAGAATTGTATCAAATGATTTTTTAATCCCCTCTAATTAAAAAATGTTTTAAGTATATATAGGTATCAATCAAGCACCTTAAGAGTGTCTGTCCTTCGATCTACTAATTCTATTTTAAGATAATATTTAAATTACAAACAGAAGATCTTCACTGCTACATTGATTTAGTGAAAAACTGGAAACAACTTAAATTTGCAACTATCAGGCAGGGCATTCACTCAAGGCAACATTCCGTAGACATTAAATATGTCCATTTTGAAGGTGATGTAAAAACATGGGGAAATACTTATCACACTAGACAAGAAAAACAAATTTAGACAGGTGATCACAGCTAAAGACAAACAAATTGAAAAACTGTGCAAAGGGATGTTCAACCTCACAAGTGACCTGAGGACTGCAAAATAAAATGAGATACTATTTTTAACCCTATCAGATTGGCAAAAATGAAAGAGCGATACTACCCAGTGTTGGCAAGAATGGAGGGGAAAGGCATTCTCACAGACCGCTGCTGGAAGGGGGCAGAAGTACTACTTTTCTGTTTGGTTGTGGCTATCAATATTTAACGTGCTTGAACCCTGGGGTCAGGAACTCAAATTTTTGGACTCGATCCTACAGAAATGCTTGTACAAGAGACCAAGGATAGATGAAAGAGAATGTTCCGTGCAATCTTATTTTTAAGAGCAAAGCATTTTAAGCAACATAAATACTCATCAGTAAGCAGTGAGTTAGGTCAATTATATACATGCAACAATGGAATCCTATGGAATGAAATGAGGGCGTGTTCACACACCCACACCCACACCCACACAGAGATAGGCCTTAAAAAACACACACCAAACTGTTACAAGTGGTTGTGTGCCTGAGGGTGAAGGGATACATTTTAACTTTTTCTTTATATATTTTAACATTAGTATACTATTTTTGTAGTTTAAAAACTTTAAAAAAATATATACACCAAAAAAGAGAGGAAATAAATATACCAAACATGTTAGCAACAGCTGGCTTTGAGTCATGTTCTTAGGTAGTCTTTTCTTTCCTATTACTTGTTTACACTTTCCAAGTCTCTCATAATAAAATTCATAGAAACTCTCATAAAAAATTGCTATTAAAATTATAATTAGTAAATTAAAGAAGTGCCCATCTGGATTCTGAGGCATCAAATCAATTACTTAAATTGTGGCTTTGTCATCTTGTGGCAGTTTATATGACCTCTCAGAACTCAGTTTCCTCATCTCTAAAATGGGGTTGATGTGAGGATAGAAGGTTACACCTATCAAGAGACCTGGCAGGTGGCAGAGGCAGAGGCAACAGAAGCTTTTGTCACTGCCTAAGACAGCTCTCACTACAGATCCTGTAGCCTGAAACCCAGGTGCGCTGACCCAGGCTGCAGCCTTGAAAAGGGTCAGGGTGGGGCAACAGGCTCGGTCCCAGGTGCCAGCCCACCCAGGCCATCCTCCTCCCAGGCCTTGGTCCCCAGCAGCTGATGCCCTGGCCTACCTTGCTGGGCTCCAGATCGTCTGTCATGACCCCTGTCATGATGACAGCCTCATCCAGGGAGTAGAGCAGCCCTTCCACAAAGTGGTTCTCCTGCTTCTGGGACTCATGCTTGAACTTGTCACAGATCGCCTCTAGGCCCCGCACGGGTTCAAACCGCAGCTTGACGTACTTCTTGGCGGGAATGATGCGAATCTCCGCGGCCACCAGGAAGCCCAGGGTCCCACATGACCAGGGCACAGCGTAGAACAGGTCTGAGTTTTCTGACTGTGAGGCAGAGTCAACACATGCTGAGAACTTGAACCTGGGCCCCATATCTCAGCACATCGTCAACAGGGGCACAAAGAACCCGGAGTGGAACTAAACACCTGGACACCATCTTGTGTAACCCTCACAAGGTACTTCACAAACTGTGCTTTCTGGGCCTCAGCTTTGCCTCTGCATGACATTGACCTTACATGGCCCTGTGCCAGGGGTGCTCACCAAGAGGGCCTCCTCCCTCCTCTACCCAGGCACAGCCCCCAGCCCACAGGATACCCAGAAAGAGGCCAGCACTGCCCAAAGACCCAAAACAGGGGACCAAGAGCCAGCCCAGGCCAGGCTAAACAAAGAGCTGAATTCTTACTGAGGGTTATGGTCACCAGGGGACATTAAAATGCCTCCCTCCTTGGTCATTGCCTCCATTTATAATGCCTTTCCCAGGCCATTAGTTATGGACTCCCCCCGCCCCCTACAGCTTAGGGAGAGCACTAAACAGATAAGGAAAACCAGGTGCTAACAGGTGACACAGCTCACCCAAGGTCCCCTGTTGTGAGTGCCCGATGCCAGGGCTCGGGCAAGATCACCTACCCCTGACCCAGTGTTCTCCCTGCAAAGCCTCACCTGCATCCCCAAATCTGCTTCTAACATCATCATTCTCTTGTTTGGTAACTGTCTCAGAGACAGATAAGTGGCTTTTCATCTGGCCATTCTAACTCTTGATTCTTTGATCCTAATAAAGTGCCTTTTGAAAAAGTCCAGCTTTGTCTGGGCTCTACCCAGGGGACAGCTGTGTGGTCCTTGCTGACCTCAGTGCAGCTGGTGGGGCAGGAGCTGGGGCAGGGAAGCTCTGCAGCAGGCTGGCTGAAGCCTCTGGAACAGGCGAAGTGGGCCATGGATTCCCCTCTGGGCCACCTGTTAATCCCACAGTCAGATCACAGCAGTAATACCCAGGCATCTGCCTGCTGCAAGCTACTTTTTCCTCCTGACAACGCATCTGTCAGACAGGAACCTGGGGCTCAGAGAAGGCAAGTAGCCCACGAATGTCCGTCTCCTCTCTTTGCTGGTAATCAATAGGTTAGAAGGCAGGGCCCAGCCTGTTTAGGGAAATGGGCTAAACTGATGTGAAAGGGGTCGCTCTCTTCCAAGACCTGAGCTCCCCAGCCAGGGATCCTGCCTTGTACTCTTCTGTGAGGCCCACAACTCCGGAGGCTCCCTGAAACATCCGCTTCTAATGGCTCGCACTGTCCCTCCCACCCGGGGGTCCCTTAGATATGCTCGGGGAGATCAAATTGTCTCTAAGGTTTCAGTCCTGTCCTACCCCTTGGGATAAATGCCTTCAATGTCTGTGTCCCACTTTGGGCAGGAAATTGTGTTTTTATTTCTCCAAAACAGCCTCTCTTACCGCTCTTAGTTACCCCTCACACCATCTGACATGGAGCTTTGATACTGAAGCCCGACTTCCCCTACTGAGGTGGTATAGTGCAATGAATGATGAATGGTTAAGGACATTGATCTGGGAGCCTGATAATCTCGATTTGAATCCCAGCTGTGTGGGATTTAGTAGCTGTGTAACCCTGGGTAAGTTTATTAATCTCTCTATGCTTTAGTTTCCTAGCTGTAAAATGTGGCTAATAATACCACTTCCTAAAGTTGTTGAAGGATTAAAAGCCTTAATATACGTAAAGCATTTAAACAGTGTCTGAGCACATAAAGGTGCGACATAAATCTTGGTGGTTGTTATGACTACAGACCCAGACTGAACAACTGTATTTGACATGAAGCACCCCTAAAGTGCCACCTCCCCAGTGCTAGGGTCCTGGATGCCCAGGGCAGGCAGGTAGGCATCCCGACTCTCAAAACTCACTGGAGTGCATCGCACAAAGCTGCCGTCGGCCAGGATCAGCTCGTAGGCGGTGCAGATGTGCTGGAATAGGCCATACTTGTGGGACGAAGACTCGATGCCAGTGCCCATGATCAAGCCCCCTGAAGAGACATATGTGTTAGCCAGGAGGAGCTGAGGGGTGTGGGGAATCAGGTAAAGGGCACTTCACTGGAGCTGGGGAGCTCATAGCACAAGGGTGATATGGCAGGGCGGACAGAAACGGGCTGTCCACTTAGGGGAGATTTCCCATCTCTGTGGATCGAGAGAGCAGGCGAGGGAAGGAAGGGCTCAGATGGGAGCCTGAGGACTTGCCCAGAGGAAGGGGACAGCTAAGAGACCCCGTCAGGGGCATGCACACCCTCACCTCTGGACAGACCCAACCTACAAACCTGTGTGCATTCATTTTCAGAGGGACCTTAATGAAAAGGGGGGTTGTTGGGGTGGCAGGAAGCTGTGTCCCATGGAAACAGTTAAAGGTACTGAAGGTGCATTTCCCAGAGAAGAGGAGGCTTTGGGGACCGTGAGTCCTCCAGCAGGAGAGACTAGACGTATTCCGCGTGCTCTGCAGGGCAGAGCTGGAGCCATGGGTGTGTCCCAGGCAAGCGGATTCAAGGCTGAGGTTGAAAAGTGTTGTCTGCTCACTTGAGCTGCTCAGCAATGAAATGGCTGGCAGGGAGCGCACTGCACTGTCTTTGGAACTGGGGGACTACTGTCATAGATGGAATAGGGGCAACTCCTGCACTGGAGGGAAGGTGGGCCAAGCTGCCTCAGCTCAGATCCTAAGAGGGCTGAGTGCTCACCCACTGTGAGGTCATCGAGCTCCGGCAACACAGGCAGGGTCCAGCCAATGGAGGTCAGCAGGGCTGTCACCTGACCCATGGTCACCAAGGGCTCCACACGGACAATCTATTGACACAAGAAAAGAAACCAAGTCACACGGAGGCTGCCAGGCCTAAGGGGGGCTTCTACACGCAGAGGTGTCCTTCAAACCTTCCCAAACAGTCAGTGCAGAGATTCCTACTCAGCTCTACAGTCTCTTTCCAGAACAGTACAGTCTCTTTTCTTCCAGTGAATGGGGTTTCTGGCTCTGGGTTTGCTACTGTTTAATCTTGTCCTTTCACATATCTTTATATTGAATACTTAGTTTATTTTTCTTCTAGATTATAGAAGAAATAAGTCTATATTTGGAGGAAAGATCATATATGAAAAAATAAAAGTCATTCATATCGTTAATACTGGAGTATATTTCCTTTCAGTCTTTTCCCACATGTGCTATTTTGTATGTTTTAATACAATGCATACACTAACACATGCAAACACACACTTTCTTGTCTTGCTTTTAAAGTTTAACACAATACTATATTGTCCGTCGTTATTAAACACTCTTGGAAAACACGATTTTTAATGGACACATTAATATGCCATCATGTGGACTTCTGCTCTCAGCCAAGATGAAACAAAAGGGACCAGGTTTACCCTGCTGCCTGAGAACAACAAATGGACAAAATTTATAGAACTAGCGCTTTCAGCATAGCGGACATCAGGCAATGAAGTTAATGATCGCTGAGAGACAGGAAACCAAACAAGGGGAGCTCTGCGAATGCCCCAGCTAACTGCTGGGAGTTAGGCAGCGCAGGGAAGGGGAATACAAGGGTCCCAGTGGACTCTGAGTTGAAAGCTCAGAGAATGAGGTGAACAGAATTTGCAGGACAGAGTACTGGAGAAGAAACTGTACAGAGAGAAAACTGAAGAGCTGAAAAGGGTGCCCACTGAGTATTCAACTGAGTACAGATCAGAGTATACACATGAGGAAATTACCTGAGGCTGAGGCCAGGGAAAGAGCCACAGGTAACAGTGCAGGGAATAGCATCTGTTCCCATGAACCAACTGGAAACCTCATGCATCACAGGGCACTGGGGAGAGTATTCAGAATGGTCTTGCCTCACAGAGGGGAATAGCTATCCCTTGATTTTAATGCTGTTCTGGCCCCACCTGAAAAATCAGGGCCCAGCAATATCAAACTGTCTCCCAATAACTTAGCTATATCCCAGAACAAAGCTCAAGAAGATTTACAGGAATGCAAAAGTACCTGGCACCCAAGGAGGTAAAATTCACAATGTCTAAAATCCAATCAAAGTTTACAGGGCATTCCAAGGGGCAGACAGATTCAACCCACAATGAGGAGAAAACTCAATCTGTTTTTGATAAAACAGACCCAGATCTGACACAGATATTAAAATTAGCAAAGAAGGGCATTAAAATAATTATTGCTATATTCCTTATGTTCAAAAGTTAAGCAGAGACATTAAAAAGACATATACCAAACTTCTAGATACAAAAACCACAATGTCTGAGATGAAAAACACACTGGCTGGGACTGACAGCAAATTAGACATTGCAGAAAAAGAGTAGTGGACCTAACACACAGCAGTAGAAACTAACCAAAATGAAACAGTCAAGGAAAAAAGTAAAATCAACAGTGTATCGGAGTGAGCTGAGCTGTGGAACAACTTCAAGTGGCCTAATATATGTGTGATGGCAGTCCTCAAGGAGGGGAAGACAGCGGAAAGAAAAATATTTGAAGAAATAAAGATCCCAAAACTTCTAAATTTAATGGAAATCATGAGTCCCAAGCACAAGAATTATGAAGAAAAGTGTAGCAGGGAACATCATAATTAAACTGCTCAAAGCTAGTAATAACAAAAATAAATAAATCTTAAAAACAGCCTGAGGGAAAAACATCAAGTGATATACAGAGGAACAAAGATAAGGATAAGAGATTTCTTGTTGGAAACAATGCTCGCAAGACGAGAGTGACCATCTTTAAAGTCAACCTAGAATTCCATACCCAGTGAAAATATCTTTCAGAAATGAAGGCAACTGCATATCCATTAGGATGGCTACTATCAACCCCCTCCATCCCCCAAAAAACACCAGGAAATAACAAGTGTTGGTGAGGATATGAAGAAACTGAAATCCTTGCACACTGTTGGTGGGAATGTAAAATGGTACAGGTACTGTGGAAAACAGTACAGCTGTCCCTGAAAAATTAAACATGGAATTACCACATGAGCCAGCAACTCCACTTCTGGATATATACCCAAAAGAATTAAAAGCAGGGTCTTGAAAAGACATTTGTACATCCTCATGTGTAATGCTCATAACACCATTATTCAGAATGGCTAAAACGTGGAAGCAACCAAGTGTCCAGCGATGGATGAATGGGTAAGTAAAATGTGGCAAATACTTACAATAGAATATTAGCCTTAAAAAGGACTGAATTCTGAAATATGTTGTAACATGGATGAACCTTGAAGACATTATGCTAAGTGAAATAAGCCAGTCACCAAAAGGCAAGTGCTGGATGATTTCTCTTACACGAGGTACTCAGAGTAGTCAAAATCATAGAGACAGAAAGCAGAATGGTGGTTGCCAGGGGCTAGGGGGAGGGGAAAATAGGGAGTTATTGTTTAATAGAGTTTAACAGAGTTTCAGTTTTGCAAGATGTAAAGAGTTATGGAGATGGATGGTGGTGATGGCTACATAACCTTATGAATATATTTAATACCACTGAACTATATACTGAAAAATGGTTAAGATTGTAAATTTTATGTTATGTGTACTTTACCACAATAAAACCTGGAAAAGAAATGAAAGCAAAATAAATGTTTTTGGATGTAAAACGGCTGAAAGATTCATCACCAGCAAAATCACCATGTAAGAATGTCAAAGGAGGTCCTTCAAGTGGAAAGAAAATGAAACCAGACGGAAACATAAATCTATACAAAGGAGTGAAGAAATGGCAACTATATGGGTAAGTATGTAAGATTTTTTTTCTTATTATTTAATTTCTTTGAAAGATAACTATTAAAAGTAATATTGTGGGCTTTATAACATACACAAAAGTATGACACAAATAGCAAAAAGTTGGGAGGAGAGAAATGGAAGTATACATATTACTATAAGATTCTTATACTATACTTAAAATAGGTATCACTTGAAGGTACACTGTGCTAAGTAAAGTGTATACTATAAATCCTAAAACTACTGCTAAAATAACAAAACAAAGAGTTATATCTCATAAATCAACAAAAGAGCGAAAATAGGATCATAAAAATTATTTGGTAATTTACCTGAAACTAATACAAAAAAAAAATTTTTTTAATTAGTTGAAAACAACAACAAAGAATATTCAATAAACACTATTCTGTCTTCAAAACAAATTATTCAGTAATCCAAAAGAAGACAGAAAAAAAAAGAAAAAGGGAACAAAGGACAAATAGGAAAAATAGAAAACAAATAACAAGATGACAGAGTTAAGCCAACCTTATCAATAACAACATTAGATGGAAACGGTCTTACCATCTCAATTAAAAGGCAAATTGTCAGAATGGATAAAAAAAGCAAGACCTAACTAAATGCTGCCTACAAGAAATACATTTTGAATATATAAAAAACAAAAACAAATAGGTTAAAAGTAAAAGGATGGAAAAGATACACCATATTACCTACCACAAGTCAAACAAGCAAGCAAACAAAACAGCAGGAATGGTTTATTAATACCAGATGAAGTAGATTTCAGAGCAAAGAATATAACTAGGAATAAAACAGGTCATTTCATAATTATAAAGGCTCAATTAATTAATCAAAAGGACATAAAAGTCCCAATCATTTATATACCTAACAAGAGCTTCAAAATACATAAAGCAAAAACTGATGGAACTGCAAGAGATATAAACAAATCCACAACCACAGGCAGGGATTTCAGTAGCCCTATTTCACTAATGGACAGAATAAGTAGAGAGAAAATTTGTAAGAATATAGACTTGAACAACACTATCAACCACCTTGACCTAATTGAACTTTACAATACACACCACCCCAAAACAGCAGAATATACATTTAAAAAAAATGTGCATGAAGTATATGATTATCTAACCACTACACTATACACCTGAAACTAACACAAGATAATACTGAATGTAAAATAAGTTAATAAGTAAATAAGTAACCCAAAAGAAAAGAAATAACAACAAAAAATGTGTATGGAACATTTACCAAGAGAGACCAAATTCTGTTCTACATAGTAAATTTCAATACATTGAAAAACATTCTGATCATACAAAGTATATTTTCTGACAACAAATGAATTAAATTAGAAATTAGTAACAGAGCTCTGAAAAAACTCCAAAATATTTGGAAACAGAATAATATACTTCTAAATTACACACGGGTCAAAGCAGGTGTCAAAAAGTAAGCCGGAAAGTATTCTGAATTGAATGGAAATGAAAAGATAACAAAAATTTGTGGGTTGGGTCAAGGGGGAAATGTATAGCACTAAACATTCATGTGAAACACTACAACCGCATTGGAAGCCAATTTGGTAGTTTCTTTAAAGGTTCACCATAGACTGCCCTGGCTGGGTGGCTGTTGGCTAGAGCAGTGTCCGCATACGCCAAGGTTTCAGGTTCAGTCCCTGGTCAGGGCACATACAAGAAGCAACCAATGAATGCGTAAATAAGTGGAACAACACATCAACGTCTCTCTCTCTCTTTCTCTTCTCTCTCTAAAAAAAATAATAAAAAAGTCTTTAAAAAAAAGAGTTCACCATATGCTTGTCATATGATCCAGCCGTTCCTATCCTGGGTATTTAAGCAAGAAACAGGAAAGCGTACGTCCATACAAAGTGTATCTATAATAAAGGTTCCTAGCCACTTTATTTGTGATCGTCCAANACACATCAACGTTTCTCTCTCTCTTTCTCTTCTCTCTCTAAAAAAAATAATAAAAAAGTCTTTAAAAAAAAGAGTTCACCATATGCTTGTCATATGATCCAGCCGTTCCTATCCTGGGTATTTAAGCAAGAAACAGGAAAGCGTACGTCCATACAAAGTGTATCTATAATAAAGGTTCCTAGCCACTTTATTTGTGATCGTCCAAAGCCAGAAATAACTCAAATATCCATCAATGAAGGATAAACAAACTGTGGTATATCCATACAATGGATTACTACTCAGCAATAAACTAGAATGTACATCTGATACCTGCTTCAACATGGGTGAATCTCAAAATAATCATGCTGAGTGAAAGAAGCCAGACAAGATGCATAATGCATGATTTCACTTATATAAAACTCTAACTACAAACAAATTTATAGTTACAAAAGGCAGGTCATTTTTTGCCTAGGGATGTGGGGGAAGAGGCAGAAAGGGGCCTGTGGAAGGGACCACCAAGGGGCAGGAAGAAACTTTTAGGGAGATGAGTATGTTCATTGTCTTGATTGTGGGAATGGTTTCATAGGTGTATACATAAGTCAAAATTTATTATCAAATTGTACTTTATGTGCAGTTTATTATACATCAGGTATATTCAATAAAGCTATTTGGGGGGGAGGAGCACAGGAGATTAGTAATTTGGCCAAGGCCTCACAACAAAATGCCATCATGTGGATATAACACATCTACTATTGGATGTTGTATTGTCTTCTATTAGATATAAAGCTCTGATACAAAGGAAGGAAGGAAGCTGTGATATAATCCTTCTTTGTGTTATCTTTGATTTAAGCTTATTTCCTGTTTCCTTAAGCCAGGTTTTAGAACCAGAATTACTAGATAGACCAACGAACACGTACATGTCTACAACTACTAGCAAGCTTCCCCAGGAAACTTGGAACAAGGCCCACACTCCCAGCCATTTCCATAGCCCATTGTTTGCCAGCATACTTCCTTACCAGGAGGGCTAAATAGTTCCCTTTTGACTCTCATTTTGCCCATGATTTCTCCATCAGTCTTCCTGTAGAACTGAAGATAATCAAAGAATCCCCCTGAACTCTCAGTTTGCCCACCTTTGAGATGGGGCTATGATTAATCTCTTTCAAAGCTGTGAGGCTTTCGAGGATGGCAATGGTGAGCAGAACCTTCTGTGATGACCAGGTTTTCAGTCCTGTCCACTCTGGGATGCCCTTGGCTGAAATCATCTCCCTGCAAGTCACTTGTACCAGGGGCAGCACTCCACCCACTCCCAGAGCCAGGGAACCATGCCACTCTCACCTGTTTCTTGGTGTCCACCTCCAGAATGTCCATCAGGTTAATCATAATGTTTTTGTGTGTCTTCTTGTACTTCCCAACCCGGAGCGAGACTGTGAGCCAGCCAGGGCGCCCTGTGCACATGAAGGTCTTGCTGCCTTGCTCCTTCCATTCTCGTACCTGCAACCATGGAACAGAAGCTGAGCTAGCCCCACCTGGATTCCCAGAGCAGCTCCCAACCTTGCTTTCAGGACACCTTCACTTGTCAGCAAACATTTACTGAGCCCTTGCCTTCTTCTAGGCACTGGAAGGCCCACTGGCCTTACTCTCTGGAATCTCCCTGGCTAGTGAGGCTGACAGAAAAGCTGAGGTGCTACCACACCACAGAGTAGGATCAAAGTGCTTTGAGAACATTAACTGGGAAGGTCAGGAAAGGTTTTGTGATAGTAGCAACCATACAAATAATAACCATTTATTGGGTGCTTCCACTGTGCCAGGCACTCTCATTTAATTCTCACAACCACCCCAAGACGTTGGGATGATCTCCTTTTGCAGATGAGAAAACTGAGGTAAAATAACTTACCCAAGGTCACACAACCAGTGAAGGGCAGAGCCCAGATTCACAACCAGGACTATCAGACTTCTGGAAGGACAGATGGGTTTGTATTAACTGTCAATAGAGTAACAGCTAACATGTCCAGAGGCTTGTTATGTGCCAAGCCCTGTTCTAAGCATTTACATGTGTTAACTAATGTATCACTTGAAGGGGAAAGAAGGGGCAGAGAAGGACCACCAAGCCAATGGAAGGAAGAGCTTTTGCAAAACCTCTATTGTAAGAAACCAGAGCACAAAACAGAGAAAAAATGGCCCAGGAGATGACAAGTCATCAGGAACATGGGAGGAAGTGCTCCCTTCGTGCTGAGATAGACAAGAGCTGGGGGTGGCTACCTGTTGCTGTAACCTGTGACCATCCCTTTCTTCTTTATCTGCTTCTAACACTCCCATCTTCCTTTAGTCCAGGTGATGCTGATTCTCCCCCTGCCCAGGAGGTAGGCATATGACTCAGATGGAGGCCATCCGCCTGGCCATAGTGACCAGTTTAGGGATGGGGCTTTTGATCCAAGTCATGCCAATAAGACTAGTTCCAGGACAGGCACTCTCGCTGTCCTGGGCTGCTAAGCTGGTTGGATATAAGCCAGAAACTGCTGGGGCCTCCACAGGGAGACAGCCTCCCTGGGAATGAAGTCAACCCACAGGAAAGCAGAGCGAAGAGATGGCAGATGGATGGAAGGGTGGAGAAGGGGGATCCTAGGTCCAGTCATGCCTGAGCCAGTTTTACTCCTGGACTTTTCAGGACCTGGGTCAATAAAGTCCCTTTTTTTGCTCAGCAGTCTAAGATGAGTTTCTATCACTTGCAACCAAGAGTCCAAGAGGAGGCTGCATGGAAGCTGATGGGGCAAACAGCTCAAATGGGGAAGAACTTTCCTATGATCAGAGGCCAGGGTGCTGCAGGAAGTAAAGGTGTCTGAGCAGAGGGGAGTTATTGAGGAAGGGATCCTGTGAACAGGGGTGAAGGCACAGCTGGAGGGATTCCATGACCAAGCAGGCCTTGCCCCTGCCCAACTCTTTCGTCCCAGGACATGATACATGCTCAGAGGTGTGGGGAATGGATTGGGGCTACTACATTCAAGCTGGAGGGTAGGCACCATGAGGTGAATGTGGAAGCAATAAAGCCTGAAACATTGGCTGGATTGGAGCTAACCAAGATTTTTGGGAGGGAGGCAACGCTTTTGGGTGGAGAACAGACCTTGTGACTAAGTACAGGCCAAAGACAAGTGGGGAGGGCTCAGAAGAGGGGCAACTAGTCTGGTAGCTATTACAACATGCCAGGTGTGAGGCAACAGAGTCAGACAGACCTACAGGGCGGAATGGAATGGGATGGGAAAGAAGAAATGTCAGAGTTCAGATTCTGAAATCAGCTGACCTGGGTTCCAGCCCCACTTACTAGCTATATCATCTTGAGCACTGACTAACAGTTTTTCAAACCTCAATTTTTCCCATCTGTAGAACAAGTACAAGACCTACCAGGGTTGCTGGGAGAATTAGAACGAATGGACATCAGTGGCACAGGGTGTGGCACATTACAGGTCCAGGGTGGTAGACCAGGCCAGTCGAGACCCTTGTCTTTTTGCATACAGTGAGCCCTTGGTTTAGTTTAAATAAACAAGAGTTCAGTGGGCTGTTCTAGGTCAGGTCCCATGGGCCAAAGGTGAGTTGACTAACAGTCCCTGCCCTCCAGGAGCACACACTTGGATGGGGGAGACAAACAGGTAAATGGAGAATCTGAATGCATGGAAAGAGCTATGAAAGAGGGTGCTGCTGGGGAGAGAGGGTAGGCAGGGATCTGTAGCCAAGACTGTGACCAGCAAAACCCAGGGCAGCCCAAGCAAAGCTGCATTCCACCCCCCACCCCCACCCCCAGGTCTTCTCCTTTATGGGAGTGCTCTCAGCATCCATCTTCACACTCTCGCTTGCAGCACCCAGCATAGTGCACACAGAACATGGAGGCTGCTACACCTGTGGTGAGGGGGGTAGCAGGAAACAGAAGCTCTTTGCAACCTGACACCAGTAAGAGAGGAACATAAGGAGGGGCAGAGGGAGCCAAGAACCTGCCCAGGCTCGATGCCCATGTCAGCCCCGACACAAGAAGGAGCTCCGCTCTGAGCAGCAGCAGGGCAAGGCTCTGCGGGTGCTGACACACGGGGGGATGTACAGGGGTACTGGGAAGTGGACAACTGTCTTGTCCAGGAGTAAGCACCTGGTCCAGAGGCCGCAAGGCTCCTCACCCTGGCTAAGTGCTACGTTGTCACTTTAGTCCTTTATTCTAAGCTTTCGAAAGTGCCTTGCTGCTACAGAGTAAACTCTAAGCTCAAGGCCTCTCCACAACCTAGCTCCAAACTGACTTTCCAACCTTCTCCCCCACTCTGCCTTCCCTCACACCCGCCCCTCCACCCAAACATCTCCCCGCAATCATTTCCCCTACTTCCCCGTCTCCATCCAGCTCCACCTCCCGGAAGCCCTCCCTCCCCTGAAATCGCTCAGGCCTGGCGACAGCCACCCCGCTCACTGCCCACCGACCCCCCATCTTATGATTCTTTCTATTCCTCCTGGAATCCGCACGAGCTCTGCACATAGTGGGAACTCCATTAGCACTGGAGCAATGTTTTATTCTCTCCGAGCCTTTGCTCACCCCGCTCCCTCCCCGGGAAGCCCCCGCCCTCACATTTTTGAGTTCAAACCCCCCTGGAACGTCACCTCCTCGGAGCAGCCTGGGCTCCGCCTGCGCACCACGCGCGGGGCTGTGCGGGCAAACCGCCCCGTCCCGCGAGCCCCGGGCGCAGAGGCCAGCCCGGGGGCGCTCACCTGCTTCTGGATGTCCCGCACGCGCTGCCCGTGGAGGCGCGGCGCGCTGCTGAGCTTGAACACCACCCAGGCGCGCACGTGGTAGTAGATGTCGAAGATGAGCGAGAGCGGCAGCAGGAAGAGGCACACGAACACCCAGCGCTGGTGAATGAGCACGAACTCCAGCCCCTTCACGCGGATCCAGAGCAG